TTTCTTGTATTTTAAGTGATAACACCTTTGTGTTCAGTCCATAGGTTTAGTGATAAAAAAGAAAAACACTGTTATTTGGTTTAGCCTTCTTAGTCATACATTTGTGATATAGCATATATTCATTATAGCATTTACTTTCTGTCATGATTTAAGCCCAGCTGGTAAGTCAGAACCATGCAGCAGGTTGCTCTCTCCTCCTCTTTTCTTGCCCCCACCCTGCCCTCCTTCCAGCAGGATGGGGAGAAGAATCAAAAGAATGTAAACCCCACAGGCTGAGATAAGAACAGTTCAATAACTAAAGTATAATACAAAACTACTACTACTACCACCAATACTAATAATGATAAGGGAAATAACGAGGGGAGAGAATATAAAACTCAAAAAGGGAAGAAAAAAAAAAGAACAATAAAGACAAGTGATGCACAGTACAACTGCTCATCACCCGCAGACTGATACCCAGCCCAACCTGAGCTGCAATCTGGGCCTTCTGGGTGACTCCCCCCAGTTTATATATGGGGCATAACATGGTGTGCTATGAAATACCCCTTTGGCTGTTTTGGGTCAGGTGTCCTGTCTTTGCTCCTTCTCAGCTCCTTGTGCCACTCCTCATTGGCAGAGCAGGAGAGGCTGAAAAGTTCTTGATCAGGATAAGCATTACTTAGCAACAACTAAAACATTGGTGTGCAACCAGCATTATTCTCAAACTAAAGCTGAAACAAAGCACTGTAAGTAAAGCTACTAGTAAGGAGAAAAATAACTGATACAGCTGACCCCAAGACACTTTTACATCCTAAGGAGGACATATGGATATGAAGATTACTTCATTTAAGATACTGTAAATGTATTATTTATGCAGTCATTGGGCAAACTAATAAATCCCATGCTTTTCTTTGTGTTACCTGTTCCCCCTGCAAGATCAAGAAGAGAAGATAACAGAACAGAATAGAATAGATTAATTTCCGCTGGGAGGGGCCTATAGTGATCAACTAGTCCAACCACCTGACCACTTCAGGGCAGACAGAAAGTTTAAGCATATTATTAACGGTATTGTTCAAATGCCTCTTTAACACTGACAGTCACAGGGCATTGACCATTACTCTAGGAAACCTGCTCCAGTGTCTCAGCACCCTCATAGTGAAGGTGATATTAAAAGTGATATTCTAATTTGCAAGATGTGAGTAGCATTTAACCCACTCAGAATCCTTAACAACTTCATTTCTACAATTTTAGTGCAGATAAATGAAATATAATGTGCCTGATCAACAAAGAATAATAATAAATAAAGAAGAAAATCATCATAATTAAAAAAACAAACAATCCTTAATTAAAAATTTAAAATCATAGGTTTTGGCTTAGCCACTTCCATTCAGGAGTGAAATTTTGGGTTCCAAAATACAAATTTCTGGAGAAGTCAACTTCTAGATCTGTAACAGTCAAAAAGAAATTCAAAAGTTACAAATTATTAGAAAAGAAAAATAAAGCAGAGCACATCATTATGCAACCACAAAAATTTATGTTTTGACAATATCTTTAATAGTGTGTGCAGTTCTGCTCTGTTCACAAAAAAAATCTAACAAAACTGAAAAGTTCAGAAAAACCAACAAGGGTAAAAAAAGACATGAATCTTCTTTCATGTAGGCAATGATCAACTAAGCTGAGGTTCCTCAGTCAACTAATTGTCATGTTTTAAATCTAGCCAGACAGCTTGTTCACTCATTCCCAGCAAGTGGTGCCGGGCTGGAAGCAATCGAGGCCCGTGTCGTCCACCCTCTCCCCCAGGGGCTCTCCCCTTCCCTGCTCCTGGAGGGATGGGGAGGAGAATTGAAAGAATGCAACTGCCATGGGTTGAGACAAGAACAGTTCAGCAACCAATGTACAACACAAATCACCACTGCTACCACCAATGACAACAATGATAAGAGAAAATAACAAGGGAAGAGAATACGATACCACCCACCGAAAAATGAGTCCGACCCAGAAGACCCCGTGTCTTTCTGGTTAACTCCTAGTTACCTCCCCGGGCATGACGTGTTGTGGTATGGAATACCTCTTTGGCTAGCTTGGGTCAGGTGTCCTGTCTCTGCTTCCTCCTGGCTTCCCCTCCTCCCTGGCAGAGCATGAGCCTCACAAAGTCCTTAGTCTGGGTAAACATTACTTAGCAGCAACTGAAAACATCAGTATTATCAGCACTGTTCCCAGGCTGAAAGTCAAAACACAACGCTGCACCAGCTACCACGAAGGAGAAAAATTGGCTGCTACTGCTAAACCCAGGACACTAATATAGAAGGTGACTAAAGCCTAGAATATTATAAAGAACCCAATATGGTAGGGTTGTCATTTGTTTTCTCTTTCAATGGAAGAATCAAAGAGGCACTGGTAGGAGAAATGTATGAAACAGATTGAAAGCAAATGATGCAACAGGAGCCGAGTTTGAAACCTTCATATGCAGTGAGTGATAGGTTGAACTTGTGAAAACACCATGGAGGCAACAAATTTACATAAATTCAGACAAAGGTTGAACTATTTCATGGAAGATAAGGCCCCTGAAAATTACAAAACGCACGGAAAAGACATCCAACTCAGAATGTGCCTGATCTGAAAGTTAGATATTAGGGGAATATTAAGGGAAATTACTGTATACTTTACAATAGTCCTATGGTTTGCTCCCTACACATTGACTTACGGCCACAGCTAGAGACACATTTTCTGTAGGCTACATGAACCTCCCTACTCATTTCTTTTAATAAGCAGGTCTATTGTCTGTTAGGTCATCAGCCATGTAAAATAAGAGTTCTGGATCACCAGTCAAGGTATTGCAGTGTGTAATGCCTTTCTTTGGACCTGAATAGATTAATTCTGTGACTGACACTTAAAATCAGAAGCAGGAGTCTACTGTCTACATCTAATAATATTTTAGATGTCACAGAGCATGTTACCTGCAAAGGCTGACAGATTGACAAAGGACTGTTATTCATTCTTCCACAGCCGCTGAAGTTCAGATGAAATAGCTGACAGTCCTTTAAAAGAATCTGGCTGCCTGTGTTTAGGTAACTGCAAAGCAATTTTCATACATTTGTATATATGTGTCTCTCAGGAAGATACCACCCCATAGACTCTGGAAACTAAATTTTCCTGCTTCCTGGCTTTCATCTGCTTCTCTGAAAATGATTTTGTCTCCCCGATAGATTTCCTATGAGATCTACAAATCTACCAGACTGTACATATATGCTGCCATATCCAATTAAAACCCACTCTAATTTCATAGTAAGCAGAATATAGGGATCAAGCATCTAGAGGTAATACTCAATTGCCTAAACATAAACATTGAGAGTCTGACAAAGTTCTGATTCCTTAGGGTATCCAAGATATCCATATGGGTCTGGCAGATATGGCACAAAATCTCCATAAGCATTGCACTCTTGTGATCTGATATCACTGAGGTCACAGAATCATTTAGGTGGGAGTATACCACAGGTCTGTAGTCCAACGTCCTACTGACAGTTGGGTCAGCTATGAGGTTAGACCAAGTTGCTTAGTCCAGTGAGATCTTATACAGCATCTCAATAGCCAGTAGAAATGTCTACAGACAAATGAATCAAATACTCAAAATTTAAACTTAAAGCCTTCTTCCTTGGAAACATTATAGAATATTCTTTCTGCTGTATGCACTGAGCATCCGTTCTGATAATTATTGGTTATAAGGTTTTATGCCAATTGTCATTATCTAGATTATTAATCTTTAAATTTGCCAGCAATGCAGAAAACAGATCCAAAACTTGCACAAGCAAGTTCTTTCAGTTTTTTTTTTGTTTGGTTGGTTGGTTGTTTTTTTGTTTGCTTTTTGTTTTGTTGAGGGAAGAAATGGACTATGCCCGATCCATTGTGAACCCAGCATAAGACGCTTTATTGTGTGACAAGCCCATATTTATATAATTCTACTTCCTTTACACGTGATCAAGCATTCTTTGATTGGTCACCTCACATCCCTTTTATAGCGTACTAAGTGCTAAGCAGTAACTTTCCACTCTTTTACTCCCTTATCCCGATTTAGCAACACTACTAAGGGTTACAAATATTCACACTGTTTGGTCTGTCTTTGAGATGCACATCCTGCTTTATCTTGCAGACCGCCTGCTTTGTTTTGCTAACCCATCTTTACCCTTTATATTTCTCTTTATAGTTCCCAAGGCTTAGGCCTGAGCAGGGCATTAACACCTGGTGTTTTCTTCATGGTTCCCAAGGCTTGAGCCCATCCAGGGCAACAGCACCTGGTATTTTCTTTACTGTTCCCAAGGCTCAAGCTGGGCCAGGGCAATAATGCCTGGATCCATTTGTCCTGGGTTCAGCAGTAGCAGTCATTTGACACCATTTCATTAACTATTTCTATCCGTCACCGACATTTTGTTTTGTTTGTTTTTTTGTTGTTGTTGTTGTGGGTTTTTTGTGCCATGATTATTATTATTATTATTATTATTATCATCATGATTGTCATCGTCATCATTTATTTTGGGCTTTTCCTGTTATTAGGGCTTCTGGGTTTGTTTTGCTGGTGGTGGTTGTTTAGTTTAGTTTGAGTTTAGAAATAAGGGGTATACCTGGAAGTATTACATAAAATACTGTGGACTGTTGTTACATTACATGACCGCACATTCAAGATGCTTGCAAAGAGATGCCTTCTGGATCGTCTCAGAGTTGCAATGGAAAACACTGAAGTAAGTCAAGCTGTAGCCTACAAGAGAATACTTAATTTTTTTCAGTGTCTTCAGTAAAAGAAAGTAAGATTGCAGTCTTAAGGGATGGTGAAACAGTGATCTAAAAGTTGCCTTAAGTCTTTTAAAAATCAACTAAATACTTACTTTCCTGATCTTCCAAGAGCAATGCAAACCTCTGTATTCTACAGTCAAGTGATATGATATCCATTTTGTGATCTTCTCTCATTGCATGGTATTACTTTTCTAGGAATTTCTAGCATTTTTGATTCATGATCGTGTCATTTACAGATATTGGCTGACCTAGAAAACCATGCGCTTTTTAAGGATGACCTAGAATGCCAGAAGCTTATTCTGGAAGCCATGAAATACCACCTTTTACCAGAGAGAAGAACTCTCATGCAAAGTCCAAGAACTAAACCTAGAAAATCTACAGTTGGGACACTTTATGCTGTTGGAGGAATGGATAACAACAAAGGTATTAGAGGATATCTGTTACTTTATAAAAGTTATATTTTGCATTTTCTTCAGTAGAAAATAGTAAAATAACTTTCTATTTCAAGGCTGGGGTGGGGGTATCTAAATCAGTCAAGAAATGCTGCCAGGACTTTTGGTCCAATGAAGAGCTACTAATATTTAAGGAAAAGTATAATATTGTTCATTCTTTGTTCAAAATTATTATAGTCTCAAGAAATAATTTTAACAAAATATCTAGTTACTTTTGTTTAAAATATTTTTAGCTTTCTAGAAATTATGTTTCATTTATAACTTAACCAAATATGTACGCACCTTTTCTAATCAATTAAAAAGTTTGGTATGCAGTGTATTACATCCTTAAGTATCTGTCTGAAATAGTATAGTTTTTAATGCATAAATTTGTTAATCTTTTAGAGAAAAAACCTAGAGAACTAGCTTAAACTAGGTTGCTACTTAGTCAGCAGGTAAAGGAAAGTAAAATTATCCCTATCTTACTGTGAAGAAAAGTAGGAAGAAGTGGAAATGTTATAAAAGTATTTTGTGGTTACTTGTGGTATTATGATGATGTGCTTTTATTGATGTAAGAAGTCTAATCCACTGATTCCTTGGGTGGAATGAAGTAAAATACTTGAATTAAAAGCTAGCTGTGTTATAAGCCTGTATACTCAGAGAGGCTTTACTTTTTTCTTTTTCTTAACATTCACTAGAAGTTCCACAGTACCTTACATTTTGATGTTCATATTTATACTGAAGAATATGCCTTTAGAACCATCAATTAAAATATAAACTAAACTATACTTTAAAACAAAATAAAATTAGATCAGTATTTGAGAATTCTGTTTCTAGGTGTAGTTATTGCAGTTCTTTCACTAAACAGCGGTGGCAGGCAGCATCATCTGAAAAAAGACATTGCATGTTTTTCAAATAAAGGTACAGCAATGACAAACATGTATGACATCTGTGCTGCTTGAAAATGAAATGTTGAAAGAATAGGAAAATGCTGGAGAAAGAACCAATATGCATATCTTATTGTAGATGCGGATTATATTTGTCCTTTAAGCATTTCTAAATGTTTGTGTAGCTAAATGTTAGGTATGAATTTGCAAAGGATAGTTTTTAGATCATAAGATACTAGAAGTACAAATTTCCTCTTACTTAGGAAAAATGACAACAAACACTAAGTATTCAGGCAGTGGACATGACCATTAACCCAATTTAGGTGCAGCTGCATTTGTTCTAGTTTACTATACAGATCTGTTCCTTGTTCATACAGGAAAATAAAAATAGAAATATGTAGGAAGACAGTGCAGAGTGTAGCACTGTTGCAGCAACACCACGCAGTCTGTTTTGCAGATTCAGGTCAGGGAGAAGCAGCTTTTCTGTAGCTGCAGGAGAGAACAGCATGTGACAGAGGTTCAGCTCTCTGTGGATGAGACTGAAAAGAAAAGAATCACGGCTTATAAACATTTACAGCAGATAAAAACTGTTTTGAGATAGGGCCTGGCATGGCACAGCAGTATGTACACAGTAGGAGCTTATATTACAGCCAATGTAATGTGTATTTCTAATAACTGAGGATCTGCCTCAGCTGAGGATCATGCAGACTCAACTTGCATCTGCTCATCTCATACCTCTTGTGATGCTGCTGCGTCCTTGACTATCATCTGTGTTCAGTGAGTCTTGCTTCCACATGTCAATGCAGGAGACCTGAGTGCTAGTCACATGTTTTGAAGACATGCTGAGTTCATAAAGCACTCCTCAATATTTGATCTGTGAGATGATGCTGACACTGTATTATCTCTCCTCAATAATTTATTTTTTTTTTCCTCACAACTTTTTCCACTGAAATGCTGACCTGAATGATTGCAATTCACAATGATGTATTTTGATTGTGATTCACAATGATTACCTCCTGGTGTTTGCTACCAAATATGAAGCATTTGCATATAGAACTATATGAGCTAAGCAAGTTAGCACTTTATTAGCTAGCATACAAAACAGGGGGTAAATGCTAGTATTATGAAAGTATTTTAAGGTTATGTGGCCCATCATGTAAAAAGTATCCTAGCATGCTAAATCAAGCTTATTTTGAAATCTGTTCTATAGTTAACTCCTTTCCCATAAAAAAAATAAGTAATAATTAAACTCCACCAGCCAGTGACTGGAATTATGCCTGATGTGAAAAGTTAATGCAGCACAGTACTAACTGGATAGAATTAAAAGGAATAAAGTTAGATTATTTTGTAATTTTAATTTCCTAAATGTACAAACCCACTTTTAAGTCTCTGTTTCCACACACCTTTGTTTATTTATTCATTTAATTTGAAAGGCATACATAAGAAACATTTTTTTTCTGTATATTTACACTAATAGAATGAGATGTGTGAGATTAGAAGTATATGCTTCTAACAATGTTCCATGCGCCTTACCCATTCATAACATCACTCTGACTTCTGTAATTTGGATTAGCAGGATTTAATCCTCTGGTACTGTGCAAAAGCTAACTAAGTGCACATACAGAGGAGGATCCTAGACTGAAATAAGTGAGTAAATGTAAGTAATGAATATAAGCAGTTTCTAAGAATGGTAAAACACTGATTTCTTGTGGCCATCTTGGAATCTCAAATGCAGAATAAAAGCCATGTGATAGAATATGGTGTATATGGTCTATGTTAGATAGTGATATGGAAAATTATGAGTAAAATGTACTTTCACAGAAAGAAATGATTGGTATAAATAGTTAAGTAATGCTATATTGATGGCAGAATACTGACTGGTCTCTCATGAAGTGTTCTGACCTCACTACTTAGCAGATAACCTAATAAGGGACAAGGAGAATCTGCAGAAAAAGAAAGCAAAAGAAAATGAATGTGTCAGAGTAACCATGATCCAAAACCACTGGTATATATTACTTTTAGAATAGCCCTAGATTAGTTCATCAATGTCCAAGATTAGTTCATTTACTGAATCACAGTTTTCAAGTAAATACAAGTTAAAAAAGTATTGAAAAATTACATGAGCAAGAATCTCTTCCATAAAATTGTGACAGATCATTACAAAGAGGGGGAACTGTTGATTTACAGAAACACTGATATTAAATGTGTGTTTTTCATTAACCTTGTAACTAGACATAGAACCTATCGCAAAAATTGTTCTGATAGCAAATTGGCAAGGTGCTTCACTGGTCTATATCAAGCAATACTGAAAGTTCTGTCATTGCTATTTAGATATTTTGGTGGAAAGATATTCCAGTTCTCTCTCCCCATAGGAATGGGGTGAGAATTGGTAGAACAGAAGTGAGAAAACTCATGAGTTGAGATAAACCAGTTTAATTGATAAAGCTAAAGCTGCACGCACACAAGCAAAGTGAAACAAGCAATTCATTCACTACTTCCCATTGGCAGGGAAATGTTAGCAATCTCCAGGAAAGCAGAACTCCATCACAATTACCTGGGAAGGCAAACACCATCAATCCAAACATCTCCCAGTTTACATTATGACACTCTGTGGTATGGAATATCCCTTTGGTTAGTTCAGGTCAGGTGTCCTGTGTCTGTTCCCTCCGGACCCCTCTTCACTGTCAGATCCTTCCTTTCTACTCAGCACTGATGAGGCTACACCTGGAGTGATGTGTGCAGTTCTAAGAGAGATAAGGAGAACGAACTGCAAGATAACGTTTTCCCTTCGAACATCAGGAAACATTTTTTACTGTGAGGGTGGATGAGCCTGTGACCCTGCACAGAGAGGTTGTGGAGACTCTGACTTTGGAGATATTAAAAAAAACTGTCAGACAAGATTCTGGACAACTAAACATTCAGATGTCCCTGTTTGAGCATGGGGTTGGACCAGATAACATCAGGAAGTCCTTTCCAACCTCAGCTGTTCTGTGAGTCTGTAACATATAGCATAACCATAGGTGGAGCTTGGTTAGCTACTTCACCAGAGGAATACGAAATAAACTGGCTAATGACTAATGAGATAATTAGATGTAGAAATCGCACCAAAAATCTCTTATCCAATCCTTGTAGCTATTAACATTATTATTTGTTTCTTTTTGTTCCTGTGAATTTCAATATGTTCCAGAACACAGCCTCATAGACCAGTTTGCAGTTACAGTACCTCAATTTACCTGGGCATTTCTGAATAGACAAAAAAAAAAAAAATAATCCAGATTGTAAAGCCATCTGGTAATTTTTCAGTACTTATTTTACTTCACTTTATCTCTGGCATTTTTTCAGTGCAGTTAACTTGTGAAATTGCTGATTCACTTTATGGTTTGAAATAAAGAGAAGATCCTGAAGTGATCTATTTTGAAGCCTCCACAGCCTTAATGTAATGGAAAAGCCAAAGATATCACACAGAGGATAAATTTCATTATCCCACAGACTACCCACATTGCTGATCTATTGTCCTTGTATTCACAGCTCTTGGTACAGCCTATGGAGTCAAACAGAAATGAAAGAGGTTGCTGCCTTCATGGAAATATTGGGAGGATTATTCCCCCAAGAACATCCGTGTGTCCCTCCTCATTACTTCCCTGCTGCTCATTCTATTTTCTGATATTTCCAGTGAAGGTATTTTATCACTGATGAAAGTACATACATGCACAAAAAAAGGAAGCCTTGTATACGATCTAGAGAAGACACATGCATGGAACCTCTACATTGTCTTAGCTTTTTCCGTACACTAATTTATGTTCTCTGATCGTCCAAATTTTATTGATAATTGTTACTACTGGGATTGGCTTTGAAGTAAACTAAATAGTTTATTCCAGCACAAATCCTGCATGTTCTGGGGACAGTTTACTGCTGGAAGCACCCTCAATAGTCAGTGTGGATAGGACTTCAAATGTTTGCACCTCCTGCCCTGTGCAGTCCTCCAGCTCCGTCTTGCACTTTCAGCCACCTAATAAATCTTCATGCCAAATTCTAGGAAATGCTCCAGAAGGCTGTAGTTTCAGTCATAAGATCCAAGTAAGCTTCAGTTCAGCTCTTGCCTTAT